TGAGCCAGAGGTGAACTTCTGAATCTCTCCCTACCATTTGCTACTTTCACCTTTGCCCAAATGTGACCCTCCAGGCGCCTCTATCCAGCCCACAGGACTCTCCTTTTGCCACATACACCAAGATCACACCCCTCACTAGCCCTGCTGCAAATTTGTGCCCATCACTGTCTCCTGTTTAACTATGTGCTGTGTGGCATAGGTTTGGCTCCGAGTTCAACTCCAGGAGGTTTTGGTCATTAAGCTGACACCACTACAGGTGTGTGATTTTGTGCACTGATTTCATTAAACAGGGATGAACAGACCTTGATGCTAAGCACGGCCATCTGGAAAAAAAATGCATTAGTCTGTCCATGCTCACCATCCCACTATCTACTGAGCTGCTCAGATGATGATTTTCACTTTCACACCAATTTTTTATTGACTGAAGTACACTTTCTTGTGTGCAGGCAGAAACCTGGCCACATTAAAACCTCATGAGAGAGTTAGGAAAAATTAGTTTCTAATAGTATTCTTTGTCCTCATCTCAATTTCACATAAAAGCAGGCAACCTAAAATGAATGTTGTCAGGCTACACTCCCAAGGCAGCTCTTAAGCAGTATAGAGGTTGAAATGTGCTGGTGTGTATGTGTGCAAATTATTTTGATCAGACTTTCTTCTACGTACTCAAGAAGTGATTCAGACTCCCCAAAAGGTCCATGCATCTATAAATGTTGCTTTCCATTTTATCCCTGCTCGAGGATGAAAGTTTTCAGCTATTTAAACTCAACCTAAAGACCAATTGTTCTGCACCTACATATGAGCTCTGTCTTTGAAGATATAATGTTCTCTCCAATAAGACCTCTCACTGCTTGGCGTAACATTTGTTCATTTATTCTTAAACAAAATTCTGCTGGCTAGTTTGAACATGGCAGAGGTGTGGAGAAGGAAGGAGGAAAAGCATGCAGTATGGATATTTGGGTCCAAATTAAGAATGGGGAATAAATTTGATTCAACTTTCATTTAAATGGGAACTTGCCTAATTCACACTTTCCAAAAGCAGACACAAACTGAAACAGAGCCATACTTCTCTGAATTTTGCAGCATAGGTTCTCCAGCCAAGTAGTGTGTACAGAAATGCAAATATTTGAGGAATATGTGCATATGTTGTTTTTTTAAAAAAGCTCATAAAAATGCATTATGTTATGCAAAGTGGATTTGTAAAAAGCTGTATATTAGGGGAAATTGCATGCAAACATGTATCTTAATTTCCAGGAGATTTTTTTTTTAAAAAAGTCAAACTTGTGTGGAAATGTAGAGTACAGGATTTAAGACCGGAAAAATGAGAAACTGAAATAAGACGGGTTTGCCCATCCCAAATCCAAATCTAGCATTGTCTGCTGGACTGAAGAGCCAAGAACTCACAAGAAATGGCCCTGTATTTGAAAGGTCTGTATGTAGAAGTCTCTTGACTGTAGCACCCTGTGTGGCCCCTCCCACCACTGGCGTGTCGCCCCTGGAAAGTTGTGCAATAGGGAATACTGAAAAAGGGCTCTCCCCCCACCCACTGCTGTATTGGCTATGGATGAAATTCTTCTTATACGGCTGAGCTGGGTTTGGGAAATAGCCCTAGGCTGTGTGCCACTAGCCATTCCTTCCCTTGAGCCAAGCTGTTTAAGCTTAATTGGAATGAGCGGCACTCTTGCGGCATTTCTCTGCAGTAAACATTTAGGAACAGCCGAGTCGCCCCTTTCAGCTTGACTCGTTCATTTCCATCGTGAACTTGATCACTGAACCCAAGTAAAAGTGTGAGGAGCGGAACCGGCTCTTTGCAGTCAGTAATTCCAAAGGTGATAGGATCCCTTCATCCTCCTGCTGGAGCAGGAGCTTGTAATGGGATTTGAGGCCTTTAATCTATCAGGTCAGTGGTTCAGATCCAAGGCAAGCCTGCAGTAACTGCCAGCCATTATCACCCGATAGCTCCTGCAGAACGTTATTTCGGTCTCTTCTGCAAGTGCCTTCTGAGAGGAGATGGGGGAGCTCTGCTGACCCACACACCCCACCTTCTCCTTGTGTATGACATGAGTTTGCACCTGAATCGCCTGCAATATTGCATAGGGTTGCAGGGTGCATCTCAACCCCTTCATCAGCACCACACTTTATTATTTTTTTAAATGATATTTATTAAAGTTTCAAAGAATACAAAAACAAAAAATAAAAATACAAGAAAATACAAAATACAGAAAAAAGAATAAAGTTTTTAAGATATAACAAAAAAAAAGAAAATTAAAGAAAAACATACAAGATAAAAACAGTTTAAAAAAAAACACACGTTAACTTTCCATAACATATCTTCCTTACACTTATTTCCCCGGACCTCCTCGTACCTCCCTTTTTTGTATTCCAGTTCAGTTTGTTAGTTCAGCAAATCCTTACCATTAAGCTTTTACCCATTTGTAAACCTTTTTTTCGTATCTCTTAGAGCATTACAGCTGGAAACCACTTAGTTTCTATCCAACATCCTTCTAAGATTCATTAATTTTACAATATTTCTGTAAATAGTCTTTAAATTTCTTCCAGTCTTCTTTCACCGACTCTTCTCCCTGGTCTCGGATTCTGCCAGTCATTTCTGCCAATTCCATGTAGTCAATCACCTTCATCTGCCATTCTTCCAGAGTGGGTAGATCTTGTGTCTTCCAATACTTTGCAATGAGTATTCTTGCTGCTGTTGTAGCATACATAAAAAAGTTCTGTCCTTCTTTGGCACCAATTGGCCGACAATGCCCAAAAGAAAGGCCTCTGGTTTCTTCAGGAAGGTATATTTAAATACCTTTTCAATTCATTATATATCATTTCCCAGAAAGCCTTAATCTTTGGGCACGTCCACCAAAGGTGAAAGAATGTACCTTCAGTTTCTTTACATTTCCAACATTTATTATCGGGCAAATGATAGATTTTTGCAAGCTTGACTGGGGTCATGTACCACCTGTATATCATTTTCATAATATTCTCTCTTAAGGCATTGCATGCCGTAAACTTCATACCTGTGGTCCATAACTGTTCCCAGTCAGCAAACATAATATTATGTCCAACATCTTGTGCCCATTTAATCATAGCAGATTTCACCGTTTCATCCTGAGTATTCCATTTCAACAGCAAGTTATACATTCTTGACAGATTCTTAGTTTTGGGTTCTAGCAGTTCTGTTTCTAATTTTGACTTTTCCACCTGGAAGCCAATTTTCATCAGCACCACACTTTAAACATCCTCAAGTAGGTGACTGGTGTAATTGTGGCAACCCAGGATACATATTTGGTGGGGGCATTTTCTGTATTAGAGCAATGGGCTTTAAATTCTGTTCCAGGAACCACTGGGTTCTTTGAGAGCTCTGCAATGAAAATATCAGTAATGGTGGACATACTGTTGAAAGGTCTTCATTACTGATCATTCCTTATAATGCATACAGAACCCGCACAGAAAGCAGCTGAGGCTAAATAGGCATAACTGTGACGCTTCTATGAACGGAGCATGTACATTATAGAACTTTTCCCAGCATTCCCTGCAAGCCGCAGGGGTTCTGTAGCAGATACATCAATGTGGAAAGGGATCTCTGCAACTAGAAAGTTTGAGAACCACTTGATTGTGTCATTTTGCCACATGCTAAGATTCGTTTTGATAATTTGAGGTGCATACAAGCTTTTGTTGTGCCTTTGATCTTTTCATGGTGGGGGGTGTTGAGGGTGGGGGTGTTGAGCTGTCACTCTTTCTTCTCTCATTTGTTGCTGTTCAATGTGTTGCTGAACAACAAATGATCAAATTGCCATTCTCTGCATAAACCATGTCCTCCACTAATTAAAGGCAAAGGTATCACTTGTGTTGTGTTCAAGGTGAAGAATGCCAGTTATTTTATCTGAATGTGCAGCAAAGTCGAGTGATTATGGCAGCCCCACCATCATTTGCCCCCAGTCTGGAAGAGGAAGATTTCCAAACTGAAACCCCCTTGATGCCATATTGCAAATCAGAAGAAGTCCCAGGAATCTTTTGTTCAAGCAGAACCAAAGAAGGAGCAATATCCAAAGTGGAGATAAATGCAAAGGTGATAAGGAATTAATGGCACATGAAAGCATGCCTCTTTGCTCTGTGACACGAGCCTTAAATCAAGGGCATTAGTCAGGCATATTGCTGGAAAAAAGAAGGGGGTGATATTTTGAAAGAGAGAAGCATCTAGGGAAGGAATCTGCAGTGGATTGGAGACATGGAGGATGATCATAGCCCAGAAAGCTACACATGACTAGATTGACTCATGACCCAGAAACGGAATGGGGAAACCTGACCTAGGTGGGTTATACCAGTGACATTGTCCCTTTAAAAGTGGCGGGAGGGTATTTTTTCTTTACTACTGATTGTCAGAAATGCAAATGGAAAAATAACTGTCCTGAATTTTATCTGTCCTGAATATTTTATCTGTCCTGAATCTTCCAATATTCAGTCTTCATTGGATGTTTACAGGTTTTCGTGTTATGGGAAAGAGAAAAAAAAATTCTCTACCCACTTTCTCCATAAAAGGTAAAGGTACCCCTGCCTGTACGGGCCAGTCGTGACCAACTCTGGGGTTGCGCGCCCATCTCGCTTAAGAGGCCAGGGGCCAGCGCTGTCCGAAGACACTTCCAGGTCACGTGGCCAGCATGATGAAGCTGCTCTGGCGAGCCAGCACCAGTGCAGCACACGGAAACGCCGTTTACCTTCCCGCTATAAAGCGGTACCTATTTATCTACTTGCACTTAAGGGTGCTTTCGAACTGCTAGGTGGGCAGGAGCTGGGACCGAACGACGGGAGCTCACCCCGCCGTGGGGATTCGAACCGCCGACCATACGATCGGCAAGTCCTAGGCGCTGAGGTTTTACCCACAGCGCCACCCGCGTCCACTTTCTCCATACCACACATAATTTTATAAACTTCTATCATGTTACCTCTTATGTTTTCTCTCCCGGAAGTAAAAAGCATGGAGAATTCCTGTAGCTTGGTGTGTGTGTGTGTGTGTGTGTGTGTGTGTGTGTGTAAACACACACACACACACTATATATATATATATATAAAGACGTTGAAAGAAGGGGCCTCAAATACCCTCAGAGTATAAACAAAATATACAGGCACTTTTCTTCTCAATGTCTGGTGTTTTACTCCACCCATTCGGCCAGAAGGATTCCTGTGCCCCCTGCCCGCCCCCATGATTTAGGCCAGGCATAGGCAAACTCCGGCCCCCCAATGTTTGGGACTACAATTCCAATCATCCCTGACCACTGCTCCTGTTAGCTAGGGATGATGGGAATTGTAGTCCCAAACATCTGGGGGGGGCGGTGTTTGCCTATGCCTGATTTAGGCATTTTTCTGGGTTACCTCTTCCAACTCAGCTCAGGTGGGTGGCTACCTGGGGAAATGCAGATGCAGATTGTCATGCAAATTTCTTTTTTAAAAAAATAAATGAGTAAATCACAAACTGATACGGAAATAGGGAAAACTGAATGTTACATTGGAAAGATGACAAGCAGAGAACAACTAAACTTGGCAGATTTGTCCATCCTTATCCACACTCCAAACTGAGTTCTGAAATGAAGTCATGGTTATCATTGCCATCTATGAGGAGCAAATATATTTCCTAAAAGGATGTATGTCATGTTCATTCTGGTTATTTCCTCAATGCTTGCTTGTCTGGCTCTGTGGAAATGGAAGGCAAAAACCAGTGTAGCTCTGCAAACTACAGTGGTCCCAGAGGATAATACCGACCAGGCGCTGAAATTATTTTTAGTAACTTTAATACTTCCTTCTCTAGACACCTCCACAGGGTACAGCTGGGAAAAGAACAAAGTCAGTTCAGTCTCTTTTTGGATTCATTATTTCCATTTTCAAATAAGTATCTTGTTGCATTCTCCGGGGCAGCTGACAGCAAGAGCCAAAAGCTACAGCTTGAATTTCTCATAAGAGGGGAGATCAATAACCGGGCTGTGACTTAGACACGAGGCACGTAAGCAACCGCTGGATTTCAGGCTAGTATTTTTAGACAAATTCTATACACTCTTTGTGCAGAATGGACGAGCAGAGAGACCCATTCATAGAATCATAGAATCTTAGAGTTGGAAGGGACACCAAGGTCATCTAGTCCAACCCCCTGCAATGCAGGAACCTCAGCTAAAGCATCCATGACAGATGGCCATCCAACCTCTGTTTAAAAACCTCCAAGGAAGGAGAGTCCACCACCTCTAGTGGGAGTCTGTTCCACTGCTGAACAGTTCTTACTGTCAGAAAGTTTTTCCGAATCTGCCTAACAGTAACCTCGTTCAACCCACATTTTACCAGCTTCCTCGCAAGAATATCATGGCAGACTTTGTCAAAAGCGTTACTGAAATCAAGATACACTATGTCCACATTTCCCTGATCCACCAAGTTTGTAATTCCATGAAGAAGAAGAAATCAGATTGGTCTGGCATGACTTATTTTTGAGAAACCTATGCTGGGTTTTAGTGATCACAGCATCATTTGCTAAATGCTCACAGACCAACAGTTGAATTATCTGTTCTAGGACCTTCCCTGGTATCGATGTCAAGCTCACCGGTTGGTAGTTACCTGGGTCTTCCCTTTTCCCTTTTTGGAAGATGGGGACAACATTTGCCCACCTCCAGTCTGTAGGGACCTCACCTGTTCTCCAAGAATTCTCAAAGATAATAGACAAAAGCTCTGAAATTACATCCACAAGCTCCTTTAATACACTTGGATGCAGCTCATAAGGCCCTGGAGATTTGAATCCATTTAAAGTAGCTAGGTGTTCCCTTACTACCTCTTTTCCTATCTTAGTCTGCAGCTCCCTCCTTACATCATTTATTCTGTTATCACCAGGTTGGGCATCACTTTCCTTTTGGGTGAAGACAGAGGCAAAGTACATGTTGAGTAGTTCCACCTTATTCCTGTCACCCAATAGCATTTCTACTTGTTCCCCATACAGGGGAGCTACCACTTGCTTGCTCTTTCTCTTACTTTGGACATAGTCGAATAAACCTTTTTATTATTTTTGACCTCTCTTGCAAGCCTGAGCTCCTTCTGAGCTTTAGCCAGCCTAACTCCCCACCTGCAACTGTCAGCTATTTGTGTATATTCTTCCTTTGTGATTTCCCCTTTCTTTCCTTTCTTATACATGCCCTTAACTCTCAGTTCATCTGTAACCTCTTTATGAAGCTACACCCATTTCCCCAGATGCCTCCCCCTTTTCTTTCTTGTTGGTATTGTCTGTGTTTGGGCCTTCAATATTTCTCCTTTTATAAACTCCCATCCTTCTTGGACTCCCTTCTCACTGAGTATTTCTGACCATGGGATCACATCCAGTAGCTACTTCAGCTTTTTGAAATTAGCCTTCTTAAAGTCCAGAGTTCATGTCCAACTGCACTCAGTTTTGCATGTCAAGGCCCCCAAGCCACCCCCAGGAGAATAAAGGCACAAGGACACAGAAATTTAGGTTAAATGTTAATGGGCAACATTTAGGCCACAACTTTATTGGTTACAGAATGTGAGTGGTATTGGCTTAGGCACTGGCATCAATAGACTATATCTGACTCCTGCCCGCCTTGCAGGAAGTCTGGTAAGGGTAAACCTCCAGTAGGGGGAGCCCCGCTGATGTGGATTGACTCGAACATCCCCTGGGTTCCCGATGGGGTCGTGGCATGGCCCTAGCCCCTCCCCGGGCTTCAGACAAGATCCACACCCCTGGATTCCTTTAGCAGAATACCCTTAAGTATGGAGGGGCAGGTGATGGCCTCCCCTCCCCTCCCCGACACATTGCTATTCCAATGCCTAACCGCCAAACCTTGCAAAGTTGTGACGATTGCTACAAGGTAGGCAAAAACCAAGTGGCTGGTGCCAATTTGCCAAGTGGAAAAAGTCCTACCAGGCCCCTCAATGGTGACCAACCAAAGTCCATAGCAAGACCAATGATGCAACCTGGAAAAAAGGGAGGGAGGGCAGGAGATCTGTGGCGTGAGGCTAAAAGAGGAAGCCTCAGAGTTGTGCTGAGGCTTAAATTGTCCCCGGCCACGCCCCCCAGGCAAGCTGATTGGCTACCTGGCATCCTGACGTGACCAGGGTCTCCCCCAGCGCGACGCAGGACACCGTCCTGCCCTCAACGCTGAGGGGAGTCGCTAGGGGGCAGGACCACAACCCGGCCCCACCAGAAAGTGGGCCTGATTTCCCTTGCCTCTGTATCTTGAAACCCAGGAGAACATGATTACTTCCTCCCAAGTTTCTGAGTGCTTCCACTTCATCATTCGTTTGCTGCTTTTCCAATGAATTGTACCCAAAGAGACTCTCAATATGTCAAATGAGCAACAATATAAACATTACAATTCAAAATATCTCTTTGGAACAATTGCAAATAATCGTAACTTCAAGAGGCAAAATACATCATTAGAAAGGTTAAATCGTTGTATATAAAATGGGGCAGATAATCTAACCCAAGATAACAGCTTAAGACTTAACAGGATAGAGAGCAAAGCCTGGTGCAGAAATACAGTGGCATTATGTGGGGCCAGTGGGGTGAAATCCTTTAACAGGGTGCTGCCATAGAAATGGACAGTGCTGGTCCTACCATTAGGCAGAATGAGGCAGATGCCAGAGGGAGGTGGCAGCAACCAGCCCAGCCATTCTTCTCTATCAGAGATCAGAGTCCTGTTGTGTCCCACCTAAACTAGCTTGCATCTCTCAGGTGCACTGGAGGGTGCTATGCCATTGCCATTCTTGACTTGAGATGCACCTTCCCATCCTGTCGGCCTCTGTACCTGGAATGTGAGCCTAGCAAATTTACACCCCCAGTGCCAATGCATGGGAAAGGAAGCGCAGCTATCCTTTCAAATCTGCACTTCTTCAACTGTTGTGTTGCAAAGCAGGTGTACAAAAAAAGTTTTTAACAGAAAAAAGAATGCACGGAAATGCTTGTATTAGTGAAAATAATGTACAAAGGGGGTAATATTAGGGGACACTTCATAGAATAAGTGTTCCCATTGGGTAAAATACACACAAAGATCTATACAGATTTTCATGTGGACTAGATTTTAAAAGTTAACTGATGTGCAGATGGGGTGAACCGAAGAGAAGACTGGAAAAATGAGGAACTGAGAACACCAAAATGGACAGAAACCTCCTTCCCTGGCTACCACATCTTAACCCAGGCATGGGTCCTTTAAATCTCCAGCTGAAACAAGGGTGATGGGCAGACATGGTCCTCTGTGGCCTTTCCATATAGGTCCCTCTTCACCTGTTGTGTCAAACAGGCTTCCAGGTGTGCTGCATGTGAGGCAGGCGGCTGGAAGTATCATGCACCGCACCAAAATCGCCAAATGGGGAAAAGGGGGTGCAATGAAAGAACACTTTCCATGCAACTTGTTATAAGGCTTAAAGCATCCACCTCTCCTCAGGAAAAGAGTCTGGGGAAAATTCTTACTCTCTTTGGTGCACCAAACCATCTCTCTCTCTCTCTCTCTCTCTCTCTCTCTCTCTCTCTCTCTCTCTTCCCACCTGCTATTGGGAGCATGGAAGCAGCATTCAAGTACTGAAGTGCCATCTCTGAGGTGCCGTTTTCCTTTCCCTGTTAATTGCAGGCAGCAGAGGCTTGTGCCGTAGTTTGAAATTAAAAAGAAGGTCATGACATTCTAGGGGGCTTTTTGCCATTTATGAAACTGTCACAGGCCTTTCAAAAGTCAGATACTTGAGTCACTAGGGGGGAAGAAAGCAAAATGTGTATGGGGCTTCTGGGGGAAATTGCCTTAATTTTTTTTTTCATGGTGGAAGTCTTTTATGGCACACTTTGAGACAGCCGAATGGTACCCACAACGTCAGTAATCGATCCATATAGTCCGGGCTCTCTGACGACTTGCACAGTGTGCAATGCATAGAAAGCAGCTTCCTTGTCTGTGATTACGTTGCTGCCTCCATGCAGAAATCATGTAATGAGGACTCCATGCTGTGAACATCCAACTCTTTCATTGATGGGGATGGCTCTGTCACGTTTTTTAAAAAAGTGACAAATTTGCAGAGAAAGTGTCAAAGCAT